AAAACAAAACATAGAAACATCCAATTAAAGGCGTAAGCACCGACTTTTACTGAATACCATGTGCACTGCCCTGTTAGTCCTGTGTCAAAATTTGTGTACATGGAACTATTATTTGTTTCAAGGAATGAGTGGAGAATTAGCCGATTACTACAACTTTGTCAAGGAAGGAGGGGAGTCTGGCGTTAGCCGGGCGAACTGACTGGTCGATGATAAAGGTGTAAAAATAAAGTGTGTAGGAGAACGAACCGAAAGCACTGCAAGGAGGGAAAATGTCATGGCGGAGTAGGCCACGGCCTTGTAGGCCAGGGTACGGCTTTCGAATTCCATTGTGGGAATTGCTCTGTCACATAAACGGCTGGCTTTTATAGGAGCGAATGTTGTAACCGGTTTATGAAGGAGTAATTGAAACGAAAACTTTGATCAACGATAAGTGAGGATTAGATCTTGGGGTCGCATAGATTTCGCCATGGTGGTAGCCCAGCAGTCTGCAGAATACTTGAAAGACGCAAGAGACAGCAATAAAGCATGTTTCGTATATAACCATGGTTCTTTAGGTTCAGATGAAATAAGCCGTAAAGGCCAGCATTCAAATCAGCGTTCCTATCCATCTACATATCTCTTAGCAGCACTGAGAAATTCCTCCACTCGAAAAACAGGGCTTCAAAACATGAATTCGAAGAAAAAGCCCAGCGCAGTCATTTACATTACCTACCTCTGAAAAGTTTGAAACAACTTCCTCGTATATGTCGGTAGAGCCGCACCCAAAATGCAGAGCACTTTTGGAATTTATTTGTACCAAACAGCGCTTTGGACTCCAATTCATTTCAAACAACTGCTGCAAACACCCAGCCTGCTCTTCTAGTCAAAAAGTATTGTCTGACTCAGAATGATTGGTAGCGCTCGCTGCATATCACTTTTGAATTGGTCTACTGTATGTGTGAGATGCTTGACCTGTATTAGGGCCCACATAGTTCGAGAAAGAGGTGATTAGTTTGATTTGGCAGACGACCCTCTCTCCCACTACATTTAGCCCTGGTTCAAAATGCTCGTTGCACACGGTCTCTCATCGAAATGCTCATCACGATCTCGAATGCTGAACTTCCGCAGAATCGCTTTCGATGACCCATCCAGGCCTTGCTCTGATCAGACCACCCAGATATTCCCATTCTTACATTGCCGAAGTCGTTCTTCCTGGCTGTGATCCGTCTCCGAAACTAGTGAAATCGACGGATTTTCTCGCGCACTGTCCAACTGTTGCGCTATACTCTACTAACCCTACGCTTTTATCCCAAGAGGATACCTCAAAATCATCGTGAACAGTGACTTCAAATTGTTGGTTTTCTCGAAGAAAAACAAACTCCCTACCACAGTGCAAAAGAAGGCATTATCTTTCCAATAAATCCAGCTCACAAGGTTGGCGATTTATGGACAAAACTTCAGTTATGGACGGGACTCAAACTCGTACTTATGCTTTCCGGGCACCGTGCTCTATCCCTTACACTACCGAGACCCCGCAGAATCCAGCTGCATGGCACTACAGTACTCGCCGTAAAAATTCTCCCCTTTTCAAATACTCGCTCCCTTTTCTTTTTCATAAGTTCAGAGTGGAGTATGCCGGGAGCTATAAATATCGTTGAACTCAGCTCGTCGGGCTCTATCCCTGGAGTATCAAAAATTCTTTGATTTGGATTGCGCCATGCACTATAGTTCCATCCGAAAAGTAACTGCATGTACATTGGGCGCTCACTTTAGTGCTTGTTGCGGCTGTTTGATACCTGAAGTTGGAGTGCTCAGGACTTGTTTTGGAGCGCGCTATGTACTCTACTTTACTCAGTGTTGCGTAAAATTATTGATCGGTTTTGTTCATTCTCCATCTTTCATTTCTATTGTAGAAGCTGTAGGTGACTGTAATATTACTCTAATCTAATGACAGAGTAATGGCAAGGGGAGCGCTATTGTACGCATGCACGGATACCGAACTCTGGATCGATACAGAATCAGCCGAACCGAGCCGTCCATCCGGCCGGAGGCGTTATGTTGGCACCATAGTTTACTGAAGAGAAAAAATACTAAATGTTATTACAAAACTAATACAGTACCCAAAAAATACTAATTTGTTGATATATAGCGCTATAGCGCAATAGCGCTTGGAAGTATTCGGCGAAATGCTTCTTCTTCAGCTGTAATTTTCAGTCATAACTCCTTTCCTACTAGATCTAATCAAGCAAAATTTCAATATGTGTAGCATTGGTGTAGTGTGAATATTTACCACTACTAACCTTCATTATAACCATGTTCCAAATGTCCCAAAGAACTTGAAATCAAAACCAACCGAAAATAGGAGCATTGGTGCTTCTAGGATTTCTTTCCTTTTTGCCATGTCCAAAGTGTACGAACGCTAGTGCGGAATACAGAAGAGGAAAAAAAGCAAATAAGGTGCGAATAACTGCAGACATCACAAACTTGCTTTCAGCATAGTCTACAAACGCCCTCTCCTTAGTTATGTGGGCATTGCTGCTTTGCAGTCAAATAGTGTTGGATAGTGTGAAAGATGCTTCAGTCAAGCATATCAAAATTTCATGCGATTTGTTTCAATGGGAAAAAGTTACGGCAAGTTAAAGTTGGCCGAATACTTTCGAGCGCTACTGTATGGTAGCCACCGTCAATGTTACATGTACATTCAAATAGAAGCGATTGAATGGAAGTCGAATGGGACCCATTTCAAAGAATGGGGTTGAACAACCTCAAAGGCTTTACCCTTTGCTATTTTATCTATCTAATAACAGGTTTTTTGAATCCACCTATCTGCCAAGAGAGTCTCTAACAGCGAGCGTTGAAGCGGTGATTCTAGTTTGAAATTTTTTTTCATAACAAATATCTGAGTATGAGATAGTTTTTTCCTCAGACTCAATTCTGTTGGATTTCCTCTACGGATTACCGATGCATGTCTTCAGGACTCACCCAATTCGCCGACTCCCTATAGGTATGCGTAATAGTAACTGCTGGAACCAAAATGGTAAAAGACTTCATTACCAGCAAAAGAATAATTTCTCTGTGGTGAGTTGATGGAATGGAGCGTCCCCAGCCTAATCATGTGTAAGACACTTCCTTCTTGACTGCTAGGGTGATGCTACAGTACAAGACTTCTACTGGTTTTCTTAGCCTTCTCTAAGAATGGAATTAAGTTTGACGCTCAGAGCCATTCGAAGTTCAAAGTCCTCTGTTACTAGAAACTAGTTGGTTGAAAGGTACAGCTAGTTTCCTAAAAAACATTTTCCAGACACAACCTGAAATTGTAGTGGGTCCAGGCTTGGCCACCCTTTCTGAAATCCTTTTCGTTCCGTTTATTCCAATGAGCGACTATGCTACAATATTATCTGTATCCTTTCGCCGACATTGGATCCATTGAAAGTTCTAAAGTAACAGTGCTTGGTTCAAGCGAATTTATGATTTTCCTACGTTTAAATACATGGCTNTCCAAATGGCTCGAAAATATGTAGGTAGTAGGTGGAAGTTGCGAAATACGTAGAGTATTGTGAGTGGGGAAAGACACCCCGGCCATGCGTCGCATGTTAACACTTCGTCATTCCCACAGTATGTGGCCGGGCTTTGCGATGCTGAAAGTACAAGTAGTCATGCTGTCCCCGTGTAACCGTACGTAGGGTCTTCAGATATTGTAGCTGAGCAATGTAAATGTACACAGCCCCTGACATACTTTCCTAGGGTTGCCTTCAGTACTCTACCCCACGAACATCCCAACAAATGCAAAGCATCATCTTTTTATCATGCACGATGCGCGTAAGACATCGGAAAGCCTGCTTGCTATCCTTTGTCTACACATTCAGCATGGCCCCGAGTGAAGTATTGTAACCACTTTTCTTCTACTCATTGATTAGGTTGTTCCGTCACAAGTGGGTACTTTTGCAGTTGCGACTTTGAGTAAAGCCTGGGAAAAGTTAGGCTGGTACTCGCACTACTCTTACTCTTGAAATCACACTCTTAACCTTATCCTCAAAAAGAGGAATTGCAACCTGACGCGCCTTGGCGCCCTTAGAAACAGGGTAAACACTCATCTTTCTCGTTTTGTTTTAATTGTATATTAGCCTATTGTGTTGTACTGAATTATTCTTCTCATTCCTAGCTTTTGTGTGAGAATTTCGTGCCTTACGAGGGAATGATCCCAAGTCGAAGTGGCCATTTGAAATGAGACCTATACTGCTAGACGTATTTTTTGATGCTAATTTTAAATCTGCATTCAAAATCTGCTAAACGATTCTCTGAACGAA